GTCATTTTTTTCCCCCAGTACTGTTGTAACGTCAAACAGTCACTAAACAAACTATTGTAAGTCAAGAACTACCTGAACAAAGATTGTGAGTTTCACTTAACGCAACTAGCACGCAGTTAAAGGTGAAGAACCTGGATATCCTGGAAGCCATCAGATCTATCTACCGATTGTGTGAAGCACAATCTGATTTTATTTCTTTGGTCCTCTAGCCAAGACATTTTAAATGGCTGGCAGGAAAGAACGTGTTGTCTTGTGCAGTTCCACAACCAAGAGACTGAATGTACTTTCCCTCTTCCAGCATTAGAAAAATGCAGTTAATTGATTAGGTGCAGTTGCTAGAAGTAAACAAAACAACACAAAGCCACACATTTCTTTTCAATCGATCCGATCCAATGTCTCTAAAATATTTATTTTGTCATAGTTAACTAGAATAACAAAATTTTCTTCAGTACTTAAAAATGGAAAGGGGTCAATTATAGGTTGCCCTACTTTGTTCACTAGTGAAGGAGGGAATGCCAGAAAAATGTGACACATAAAGAAGTACAGCAATGGCAAGTCAACCTCTTTGACAGGAAGAAAAGCTATGACAGATTAGAAAACCTGCTAGTAGCTGTCCTTTCCAGAATAAAGAGGCAACTGTTCCGTTAAGAAAATAAAACCACATCAGGCTTTCCTTAACAAACAGCTGCTGCCAATTCCGTCCAAAGATGGCCTTAGAAAAATATCAGAAGTGCTTGTCTTCCTCTAAAAGTCTCAGTCCACATGTTTCCAACCTGAAGGAAATGACCTAAAATACTGATTTTTTGCCTCAATTAATATAAAATAAGGCCATTAATCCAGACTGGCCAACACTGCCAGGATTCATTTTGGCTAAAGTTCCCTAACACAGGGGTTCTCAACCTTGGCAACTTTAAGACTTGTGGACTTCAACTCCCAGAATTCAACTTCAACTCCCAGAATTCCTCCCAGAATTCCAAAGCTGGCTGAGGAATTCTGGGAATTGAAGTCCACAAGTCTTAAAGTTGCCAAGGTTGAGAACCCCTGCCCTAACATGAAGAAGGCATCACCCCTGTTCCGGGTGAGCCCTTGGCTCTTAGTCTATTTAATTTTTGTAATTGTTAATTCTTCCTATAGTTATAATTGTGTTTATATTTTTATTTTTATTGTATTTTAAGCTGCCCAGAGTCACTCTGGACAGCGAGATGGGCAACATATACAATGAACCAGTTAAGTAATAAATAAGCAGGCAAGTTTCCTTTTAAACACTCCACTTTCAACATGTGGCACTCTGGATGTGCCTAGGGTCTTCAAAGAAGTAAGAAATGAAAAACAACTCCTAGGAAAGAGAAGATTCTAAAGGAAAAAGGGAGGCTGCAAATGATCCTGGGGGGCCACGGACAGGACTGTAGGGACACCAGCCTCCAAAAGAACCATGACTTCAAAGGATAAGTATCAGGTGTGGCCTCCAGAATCATGGACAAAGAAGGACTATCGAGTTTCCAACTTATATGGAAATTTTAATCCTGTACTTCACAACACTTCTAAGTTAACAAGAAAAGTGTACAAACAGATGAAATGTCTGATGACATCACCTGCTAGAAGAAGTGGCACAGACTTCTTAGGAACTCAAAGTTTACCAGTCCTATTACAATCAGACGGGCAGCAAAGTTGTCAAGGATAAAGAAGATCCAAGTCTTTTAGGGATCATGAGGTACATAAACTCCAGAATCGATGAATGGGGAGAAATAACAAGAGTAGACTCTCTCTCTCTCTCTTGTCCTGCTCAAGATTTCCCAAAGGACTTGGTTGATTATTGTGAGAAAGGGAACATACTACACCATTTACAATGACCCTTTCAATTTCTTGACTTTCAGGGAGGTTGTCCTCTATTTTTAAACAGAGCATTTAAAAAATCTTGATGATTTATTTATAGTGCTGATTACTGTGTATTACTTTACAGGGTCAGGGTACAAGAATTTTGGGTGTGATTAAACAGGCCAATGTGCGCTGGTAGCAAAGATGGAAGTAATTGATGAAAATATGCCTATGCAATGAAATTTAAGCCCACCTATGTGAGACTTAAAACAGACTATTGTGAACGAAGTCAATGCGTAAGTTGCAACTAAAGCAGACCACAACAGCCTCTTCTGTTGAGTACTAGATGTTTGGATTGTACTGGTATGTGGCTGGTGGTAATCTGCTACGGTACAAGAGCAGACACACAGGAAGTAGAAAAGACTTGCTCAGCACAAAAACTCAACAAACACACTTTGTCAAAATGTGCAAGCTACTGAATTGCATCTTGTCTTCCATACGCTGGTTTATTTTTTTAACCTACTGTTGAAAAAACAAACTACTTAACTCTGAATGGAAGAAATAACAGGGCAAATAAAACATTTTCCTTCAAAAGCCAGTTTGCCCAATAAATATTACTTTCAAAATCCAAATTTAAAATCTGCAGGAGTCCCACCAAAGCGAGTAGAAGCAGGTGGGTGCCTGCTTATCCTAATCAAATTCCAGCCAAAATAATTTTCCTGCAGTTATGGAAAGAAAACACTTACTAATCACATTCTGGGCAAGAATAATTTATATCCCTGGACAACGATTATTCTTCCTGTAAGCAACAACTGTGGATTTTCTCCCATTAGCTTTAAACTACATTCACAGGTTGACTTCAAAAAACAATTGTCCCAATGCATAGAGAGACACAGCTATATGGATGCTGCTAACTTGAGCTGCTGAGCACAGCACATTCCCAATATTTGAGCTGATATGAGGGAATGGTTGTATGTGGGATCTGTTACATACTTTCTGGGCATGATTAAATTAGTCAACACACACAAGTTCTCGCTTTTCACTCACTTTAAGAGTTTACCGTTGACACTAATGGATTGTTTCTTCCACCTGCAAGACAACAGCAGCCCCCAAAGGAAAGAGTCGCTTGTTAAAGCAACATTTTGAAGATGCTTGCTTAAGGAGGGTGGTCACCCCAAAAAATTGCTCTAACTAGAGTTGCAGAAGCTGCTAGTTCACTGCACCTGTTAGTGTAAACCTCCTGATGCTTTACTTCAAAAAAAAAAAAAAAAGTTACTTCAATTGTTAACAATCCAGTATTTTCTCCACCACAACAATCAAGCAAATGCCTCAAAATAATCAAGGCTGGAAAGCCATTTTGTTTGTCCTGTGGCTATAGTGTTATGAGGGATAAAATCTCTACTCAACGTATACTAAGGCTGGGGAGGGGGGGTCCAACCTTGGCAAGTTTAAAACCTGTGGACTTCAACTCCTAGAATTTTCCAGCCAGCATGGCTGGCCAAGGAATTCTGGGAGTTGAAGTCCATAAGTCTTAAAGTTGCCAAGGTTGAATACCCCGCTCTAAGAGATTGGAGAATCCGTGTTGTTTAAATGTGTCCTGTTTTTTGGGGAGGAAAAACTTAAAAGAAGAGACAGTTATTGGGAAAAAGAATTCTTTTGAAAGGCATCGCTAAGGCACCCAGAATTACAGTAGTCCTTGATTTACAACCATCACTGAGCCTACCAATTATGGTCATAAATCATGACAGTTGTAAAGTGGGTCACACAGGTAACCAACCTGAATTTACGCCTTTTTTGTGGTGGTTATTAAGCTGTCACCATAGTCATTAAGTGAAGCTATTGTTTGCCATGGGACCCTTTTCCCAGAAACTGGAAGTAAACCCTGTTTGTGGGGGGAAAATGTTGTAAACTGGTCATGTGCAAATGGCCATAAATGTGGGTCACATGCCAAGGGTTTGAAATGTGGCCACATGACCATGGGGAGTGAGGGAATTTTGGAACCAGTCCATAAATATCTTTTTTTTGGGGGGGGGGTGTTCATTATAACTTTGAAAGATCGCTAAGTAACTGGTCGTAAGTCAAGGATTACCTGTATAAAATATAAGATAGGCATGCTTATTGCAACTCCTTATTGCAATCCAATTTATCCACATCTCTCAGCAACTATGCCAGGGGTGTCAAACTGCCAGCCCATAGGATGGGTGCATCATGGCGAAACCGCGCCCACCCCATTGCCGGCAATGGGGAAAAAAGTCATGATACATTGCATCACGTGACGTTGCGATTTTGACACCCCTGATCTATGGGCTGTCCGAAGTTTACCAAAGCAATAATCTAACTTGCATTCTTAAGCAGCTAACATATAAATGAATCAGACTTTTTTGTGTAGAAGAAAGAAGTAAAAAAAGAAAGTAAACAGGGCAATACACACAACATTTTTATTTGTGTGCACAACTGGTGTCTTGCATTTCAGCCCAGTGCTATCTATAAGGGCTGCACAACCCCACTTACATCAGTGGGAATTGCAGACAGCTGTTAAAGATCATGTGTTCATTTAGCCAAGATGATAATCATACACAAGGCAGTTTTAGTCTATATATTCTGCTCATGTACTGCAGGTGACGCATAGCTAACATACCAAGATGAGATTTACATACCACAGTTTAATCAGCTATGATATTGAGCCTGCATTTGGTGGGTTTTCCACAACACAGTGAACTATATCCCAGGAATTCATCCGTTTTTCTGCTTAGAACCATACATGGATCCATATGTTCAGGGGGCATTATGGTGATGCAATTATCTCACTAATAGTAGAGCAGAATTTGTAAATTAAGTATTGAGTGTTTATTGGAGGCAAAAATAATCAGCTAGTGATATTCATGGCATATAAAAGAGGACTGCCTATGCTTTGTCTATCGCCTATCTCTGCCATAAACTGTAGTTTACTAGCTACAACTATAATGTCCACCTAATCTGTTAAGCCAAAAGGAAATGGCTTGAGAGATTGTCTGACAAGAATCATGTATAATTAACATTCATCCTAGGTCACCATATCCATTTCTAGACCACAGATAAAGGATTTAGAGCAGGAACAACTCCATCACAACTTTCATCAGCTTCTGTAATTTCCCTGTTAATTTTTAGATAGCTCTCTGCGAATGGAAGGGTTAGTGTTGACTCACTTTAATGCAATATGAGAAGCAATTATCTTCATAGTGCTTACAGCATCTGTGCCTGGGACCATTTTTGCATCTGAAAAAGCAAATAAAACAGTGTTGACTCTCTAGATTTCTTCTGCATTCCACAGGTACCGTATATGTTCCTTTTTTCTCCAACACCTACAAAGAATTCTCCTATCAGTCCTTCACTATTTGTATTTACCTAGGTTTTATTTACGATACTTAGATGTAGATACCTGTAACAGTAAGCTTTGAAAATGCAGCACAACTTATACAAATAAAGGCAAAAGCTTTGTTCTAGAGAACCCACAATGGGATATCACAAAGAAACCCACCTATAGGACATAAGAAAAGCAGGATTCGATCAACTCACTGCTCACTGCCAGCAGTTCGAGTCTCACCAGCTCAAGGTTGACCCAGCTTTCCATCCTTCTGAGGTCAGTAAAATGAGGACCCAGATTGTCTGGGGGAGGGGGGCAAATATGCTGACTCTGTAAACCACTTAGAGAGGACTGTAAAAGCACTGTAAAGCGGTATAAAAGTCTACGTGCTATTGCTATTAAGAAGTATATTGACTCCGATATGCAGCCTATGAGCAGAAAACTATGCTTTCAGCCTTATTACTAATTCCAACATCAATTCCTTCTGCGTCTTTTTTTAAAAATAGCAGTGCAGGAATGTATGAATATGTATGTGTTCATTCCCCCCCCCCCAACAAAAATAGACTAGGACTTTCTCTCATGCCTTCACTTGGCCATCAGAACCTTGTTGCAAACAACACAATCATCCTGGACAGAAAAAAAAAAAATATCAGTGACATCTTACAGCTGCGCTCTAAAGATCATGTAACCCCAATCTTCATTTCTAGGTTAATTTTATGGAAAAAAAGGGACCCCCATCAGCTGAGAGATCTGCAGGTAGCCAGGAATGTTTTTGGCACTGTTATACACCTCCCTGAAGAAATATCACAGAGAAAGGGCACAAAATTAGTTGGGAGATTATATATTTGCCTTTCCAGTTCCAGCAGAGAATCTGTAGAGCCTGCCAAATTTATATTCTTCCAAGTTCACAGGACTTCACTTTCCATAAGCATTAGAACTGTGCAAATCTGTCATGTGGGATTCCAGCAGTTTTATGGCAGAAAACTGGCAGAGGAATTGAAAATGATAAATACTTCAGGGAGGGCTATCCAGTTGTTAGACATTATCAGCTGGAATTACAAGGAAATCAATTTGATCCTGGTTCTAGAAATGAAATTTTCTTGCGCTCCAATATTTGTAGTTGCAGCACAAAACAACATTACTCATTCTTCATCCTGTGCCAAATATTTTTGGAAGCTTTGAATTATGTGCTGCAAAAGCGTATTAGTCATAAATCATCTATCAGGTCCCGTTTGTGTAGCAAAAATGGTAATGAGGACATGATCAAGTTACAGACATTTAGACTTAGCTATATCTGAAAGGAAACATATGGGAGAGAAATACGATAGAGGATTAGGATTAAGAACTCAATGGTTTTTTGGGACATGTGCAAATGGGACATTAGAACTACCAAAGGAGGTTTATTCACCTTGTTTGCTGAATGTTCAGGACTTTGTTTTTGTCAAAGCCCAGCAGTGAAAGGTTTTCTTGATGGAGCTGATGGAGCTATTGACTGGGTAGTGATAGCTTTTTGTACTGCTTTGGGTAATTTGCTGTTGAATAAAGATTTTTATCTGGATTAATCTAAATATGTACCAAATTGAGCTCTTCAGCCTACTAAAAATGGAATACTGGGTCTTTTTTATTTCTGGAACTTCACAGGCTGGTTCATTCAAGGAAATATACCATGAAAAACCAGGAATCTTGAGAATTCAGACAGTAAAATGTATCTGACATATTTTCTCTTCTGCTCCGGAAACTAGCAAGAATAAGATGTTACTGGCTGGTGCTCCATTCTGCTTTAGAGCCAGTCTACTTCAGGTTTCCCATTCTACTTCAGAGCGTACATGATGGCAAACGTACCTAATACAAGTAGTCCTCGATTTAGTGACCAAAGTTACAATGGCACTGAAAAAAAGTGACTTAGGAACATTTTTCACACTTATAACCACTGCAGCGTCCCCATGGTCATATGATCAAAATCTGGATGGTTGGCAACTGGCATGTATTTATGACGGTTGCAGTGTCCCGGGATCATGTGATTACCTTTTGTGACCTTCTGACCAGCAAAATTAGTGGGGAAGCCAGATTCACTTAACAACAATGTTGCTAACTTAACAAATGCAGATTTTCACTTAACAACTGTGGCAATAAAGGTTAAAAATGGAACAAAATTCACTTATAACAATTGTCTTGTTTACCAGTAGAAAATATTGGGATTCAACTGTGGTCATAAATCAAGGATTATCTGTACTCTGTCCTCTTCCTATTTTCCCCACAACAATAACCTTGTGAGGTGAGTTGGACTGAGAAAGAGTAATTTCCCAAAGTCACCCCGCCATATTTTCATGCATAAGGCAGGACTAGAATTCACAGTTTCCTGGTTTCTCGCCTGGTGCCTTAAACCACCAGACCAAAGTGGCTCTCAGTTTATAGAAGACCAATTGGGTCCTTTAATTGAAAAGACCTGACGCCAAACCTAATTTTTCCATCTAAAACCAAAGTAGCTGTTCAGCATCTAAATCAGGGGTGTCAAACTCAATTTCATTGAGGGCTGCATCAGCATCGCGGTTGCCCTTGGGGGGCTGGGTGGGTGTGGCCTACTAGGTGGGCGTGGATGGAGTGGGTGTGGCCTACTGGGTGGGCATGGCCAGCTCTATATCGTTCGCATCAAGGATGCCGGTGGGAGCCTGGGCAGAAGTGGGACAGATCTGCTACAAAATATTGACATTTAGTGGGAATGCTATCATTTTCCACCAAGCAAATTGCTTCAAGGTGAGCTAAATAAGCACACTTAAGATCATGCAATATTTAATTAATTTAGGGAATTCACCACCACTTTATTGCATGATGGGCAACAATGAAATTACTTTAAAAGGGATTAGATATCCCTGGAAACCTTATTGCAGTGATAAAATACTGTATTTTGGGATAATTATAAACTTGACAGAGTAGCAAATTGGGAAAAAAACTAGGTGTAATTCAAAATAATTGCCTCCTAACAACTCAAGTTGAAGAAATGAGTGATTCAACGCGCCTTTGCCCATTGTCCTTTCAGTATTCATGAGCTGTATTTTATTTATATCTGAACACCATGTTCAGATACCAAAAGAGAACACAGGATTTCAGCAAATTATCCTAATGTCAAGCTTCTGATAGATCAGGAGTGTCAAACTCAATTTAATTGAGGGCCGCATCAGCATTGTGGTTGCCCTTGAGGGGCCAGGTGGGTGTGGCCAGGGTGGGTGTGGCCTACTGGGTGGGTGTGGATGGAGTGGGTGTGGCCTACTGGGTGGGCATGGCCAGCTCTACATCGTTCAGGTCAAGGGTGCCTGTGGGGGCCTGGGCAGGAGTGGGACAAATCTGAGGGTCTCTGGCAGAGGGGGGTGGGACCGGGGCAAGCACCAAGGCCTGGTCCATTTCTTCATTCCTCACAAAGGGTGACACTTCCCCAGCATGCACCAGGGGGCGGGGCTGACATAGCAGGGGCTGGTTCCTTGCTGTTTCTAGACAGCCTCGTGGAGCTAAGACTGAATGCATTTCAGCATAGATGGCCACTACAAAATTGTACATTGGCTCCTGGCCGGCCTGGGCCAGGGCCAAGGCAGTGGGGGCCATTCCCTCACTGTTTCCAAGATGGCTTTGCGGGCCACGTGAAACCACTTCGTGGGCCGCATCCGGCCCCGGGCCTTGTGTTTGACATGTCTGATCTAAATAATTCCTTGATGTCAACAAGTGGAACGAAGGGGAAGAAATTAAAACTTAATCTAAAGAACAGAGGTTCCAGTTCTTTTGAGTAGGGTTACAAACTTGGGGATGGCTTCTAGATTTAATCCTGAACTTAGATGCCAAAGTTCTGGATACGGAGGTAGAGGGTTTCATAGTTTGGAGAAGTATGCCAGCTAGGCCCATTCCCAGAGACCTGTTAACTGATCAATAATTACACTATATTAGCATTGGTCTATTCCTGTCCCTATCACTATCCATTCTACCTTACCCTTATTCTATAATAGTGGGGCTATTTTTAAAGAAGTGTTTGAAAATTTTTAGCTAGCCCAGAATGTACTTTAGTCACCATATCACAAAAAAAGATGTTGAGTGTGTGGAAAAAATTCAAAGAAGAGCAACTAAGACGAACAAAGGCCTGGAGACTAAAACATACGAAGAACGGCTACGGGACTTGGGTTTGGCTAGTCTAAAGAAAAGAAGAAACAGGGGAGACATGATAGCAGTGTTCCAGTATCTGAGGGGCTGCTACAAAGAAGAGGGGGTCACATTATTCACCAAAGCACCAAGGGGCAGGACAAGAAAAAATGGTTGCAAACTGATCAAAGAGAGAAGCAACCTAGAATTAAGGAGAAACTTCCTGATAGTGAGGATAATTAACCAGTGAAACAGCTGGCCTCCAGAAATCATGGGCGCTCCATCACTGGAGATTTTTAAGAAGAGTCTCGACAGTCACTTGTCTAAGATGGTATAGGTTCTCCTGCTTAAGCGGGGGGCTGGACTAGAAGACCTCCAAGGTCCCTTCCAGCTCTATTCTATTCAACTTTCAATTAAGAACAGTTGAAGGGAGAATATCTGAAGTTTCATTTACCTCACATTTTCTGATATAATTGAAAGTGCTGGTGGTAACCTAAAATCTCACTGACTTGGAGCTGGGTGATTCTATCAAAAATCTTGGTGACCTTAACTGGATGGTAAGACTCTGGGGAGTGACCCCTCTGTATGCCCAGACATCTTCAGAACACTACTTGATGAGATGTGAGAACAAAGCTATCTGATCAAATCTCATGCTGAAAAGGGGCCACATTATATTAGATTTGTCGATCTCCTACCACCTGGCAAGATCACCTTTTCAGTTTTTAAGATCCCTTTATTGATGTGAGTTTCACTATGGATTTTTATCTATTTCTTATTTGTAAATATGTTTTAATGTGTTTGCTTTAATATTTAATTATAATTGTACAGTTTACCTTTTATTTTCTTCTTTTTGTGCACCATTTATAATAGAAAGGTTAGATATGAATCACCTGCTTGCTCCCTGGCAACTAACTGCCATGTTCATTAATTAAAATATTGAGTAGTAATTTCTTTTCCTTCAAGGCAGTTCACTGTATTCTAGCTCCCCAATACAAAAAAGAATTGCAAAAGGAATTTAAAAACCACATGTGATCTTTTGAGGCATTATTACTGAAAAAAACAGGAAATCAATCAATTAATTGTTCATGTGCAATGTACACTCATTACTTGCTCTAAAAAAGGCCATCCCTGACAGATTTGTGAAGTAAACATGAATAAATGGAACGCTGTACGCATGCACAGAATGGGTTCCTCTGTGTGTATATAACGGTGGCAGAATGAGATATGTAAATATTTCAGGTAATCAGCACAAATATTGGGGTCAATATAAAAAAAGAGGCAGTGTAAGGTTATAATTGCACAAGATAATGTACAGATAAAACAAGACATTACAAAGAATAAAAGTTTTGCACTCACATGTTATCCACAATTTTTTTTGTTGCAGCAATAAAATTCATTTGTTGTGTTATATCTTTGCAGTGTTTTATTTTTCTTTCTCGCTTTACAAAAGCACCTTCTGGTAGATATGAATGGGTGGGAATTTCTTCTTTCCCTACAATGAATCTGATAAGAAAACAGAACACATTTATTAGCTACCTGTGCTCCTTTATTCCTTTTATAACATATATTGCAACTGCTTCTAATTATATAACAAAACGGGATATTTACAGTTTGAAACTTTTATGGTGAGGTTTTTAACATTTTGCGAATATGTTAGACATATTAGCTTTTTGCTAATATGTTAGATTTACATAGGTACAAAATGATGTGTTTATTTTTTAAAAAATAGGGAACCCTGCTTATTATTACAAGATTTAATATTCTATTGTAAATGTACCACCGACAGGACAGTTTGGAATGTAACAAAAGAATGTACTTCTCTATATATGAAACGTGTACAAATATTAACGTCTGGGGTTTTTTTTATCACTTTGTGTGAAGTCATAACAATATAGAAATGAGGTAACCAAGAGAGAGAGTGTTGTGGGAACATAATGCAGGTAGTCCTTGATTTATGGCCTGTCGCTTAGTGACTATTCAAACTTAGTGACCTCCCAAGAGCTGCTTATAAGCCAGATTCAAAGTTTTGATGCTTCCAACCCTATGGTCATGTGATCCCATTTTGGGACCTTGGCAAAGAGTTTACATTTAAGGTTTTTTGCAGCATCCGGTGGTCACATCACTGCCATTTATGATTTATTTTGGCAAAACTGGTATTTACTTCTGGTTTCCATAAAAAAAATGCTCACTGCAGAGAACAGATATGCTTAATGAGCGTGGTGTTTGTAAAGAATGCAGAGACTGATTTAATGACTGCCACAAAAAAGATTACAAAATTGGGGACAGTTGCACCGTGACCCACTTAATGAGTGGCACAATTTAGGATTGTAGTTCCAGGCTTAAATTATGGTCATAAACTGAGGACTCCCTGTAATGAAATTCTGGGCTTCTAGCCCTAACCCACAAAATATTTATTTGTCAAATTTAGATATTGCCGATCTTCAAATATCAGTGTCAATGAATCCCCAAAAGAGATTTTCCTAGTCTTCTGAAAATTTATTAGCAGCCTCAGCACCTCTGAGAAGCAACTTAAATATATGTGTCTTGCATATTATTTAATTTTCCCCATTTCCCCATCCATAATCTTGGGCTCCACTTGTTCTCTAAGTGCAGTGACACAGATGCAATCCAAAAAATATGCACGGCTGGAAAACTAAAGCTGATTTCATTTAAATCAAACCCAATCAGCATCATATCTGTGGTTTGATGAGATTCACATTACAATTCTAGGATAAGTTTTGCCAGGCCTCTGGTTCTCCATTTCTGGATGGCCACATTCTGCCATACGGGTTGGGTTGTTGCTTGTGCACCAGATTAAATTTGCACAAAATTTCACTCCATCTGTGTTGGTCAGGTTATTAAGAAGAGACTTGCTTGGATTGGCTTACTTTAGTGCGGAGAATGTAAATCCTTTCAAACCATCCTTGCTTCTGAAATAAAAAAATCACATATTTGGGGTATGAGTAACCAAGAACAACCTCACTATAGAGGCAATTTACAACATCATAGCCTTAGAACTTATTTCTCACAGACTTCCAGTCAGTCAGCTTAGGATAATATGTCTGCAGTTACTGGGTTTTTATTACATGTTATAACTTTTCAAGAACACATGTAATGCAAACAGGAAGACAAAAAAACCCATTCCAAATGACGTTAGCAGCTTCAGCAAGCTTTTGCAAAGCCCAGCTTTGGGGGAAAAAAGGTTGGTCTGATTTCCATTTCAACATTTGCCAAATAGTTCCAACATTCTGCCAGCAGGTGTCTCTAATCGGCAGCAATTAATCTTAAAATTACATCAAACTTAATAAATTCAATGTTTAGACAGAGTACAGATAGACATTTAAACTGACCGCTTTCTCTGAGCTGTTTAACACATTAGTATATTAGCCACCAATTATGAGAGCTGGAAATGCTTCAAATACAGATTTCCTCTTTAAAGGCCATTTTACCTGAGGGACAATGAGTAATTGAATTTTGTTATCTAATAAATTTTGGAGTTGGGTTGAGCCAACAGTTTAAAGGGGAAATGGCAAGAGCATTAAAAATATTGTTTATATGGTACATGAATGTTCTCCTAAAGAAAGCCCCTAACTCACCCTCAGTAATCACCCTGACAATTACCAAGGCAAGAATACAAATGTAAATACAAATCAGAATAATAGAAAATAACAGAGATGGAAGAGACCTTGGAGATCTTCCAGTCAACCCCCTGCTCAAGCAGGAGATCTTATACCATTCCAGACAAATGGTTGTCCAATCTCTTCTTAAAAACCTCCAACTTCTGAACGCAAGACATTCCACTGGTTAATTGTTCTCATTGTCAGGAAACTTCTCCTTAGTTCTAGGTTGGTTCTCTCCTTGATAATTTCCATCCGTTGCTTCTTGTCCTGCCTTCAGATGCTTTGGAGAATAGCTTGACCATCACCCCTTCTTTGTCGCAGCCCCTGAGATATTCTAACACTGCTATGTCACCCCTAGTTCTTTTTTTTTATTATTAAAAAACCAATTCCTGCAACTGTTCTTAAGTTTTAGCCTCTAGTCCAGTGGTTCTCAACCTATGGGTCGCGACCCCATTTGGGGTCGATCTACCATTTCACGGGGGTCGCCAAGCAAGGCTGTCCGCCATTTTTTTTCCCCTTTCCGGCGGGTGCCTTACCTCCCTTGGGCTGGGCTAGCTGGTGGCCCAGCCGGTGGTCGGCCTGCTCTGTCTCTGCCAGCTACACCTCGGGCGGCGCAGGGGGTGGCACCATGCATGTGCGGCACTCCCGGGCAAGGAAAGTCCTTGACTTACGACCGGTTGGGTAGTCCTCGACTTACGACCGGTTTAGTCCTCGACTTACAACCGGTTGGGGTCGCGGCATTAAAAAGGTTAAGAACCACTGCTCTAGTCCCCTAATCATCTTTGTCTTCTCTGCACTCTTTCTAGAGTCTCAACATCTTTTTTATACTGTGGTGGCCAAAACTGGATGCAACATTCCAAGTGTGGTCTTACTAAGGCTTTATAAGGAGGTACTAATACCTCATGTGATCTTGATTTTATCCCTCTGTTAATGCAGCCTAAGATTGCATTGGCATTTTTGGCGGCTGCAGCACACTACTAACTCCTATATGTAAGGACTCCAGGATCCCTCTCATAGTTACTGCTATTGAGTCAGATACCACCTATTCTGTACTTGTGTATTTGGTTTTTCTTCCCTAAATGTCTTTGAATGCCTAAACCAGGGGTCTTCAAACTTGGCCATTTTATGACTTGTGGACTTCAACTCCCAGAATTCCTCAGAAGTCCACAAGTTATAAAAGGGCCAAGTTTGAAGACCCCTGGCCTAAACCATTGAACTTCATTTTATAAACTGAGGGAGCTCCAGTTTACTTAAAACTTACTTGAATATGTTCATGCAGTGTGCAATTTGTGGCCCTTATTGTGGGATTTGCCTGCTAGTAACATGAATAATCAGATATGTGAGTTAAGGACCACCATCTGCCTCATTGTGTAATATTAACAGCAGTTTTTTATAATTAATTAAATGTCTTTTATGTGACAAACATTAAAATCTGGAGAGGAATTTCTAAACAAAAGCCATCTTGAGTCTGTGTGTACAAAAATGATGTCAATTTATTATTATGTATACATGTATAATATATAATATAAACAAAAGGAACATGGATTTGGGAAAGGTCTTGAAAAACAAACACAATAATATTTAGGAGACAACAAAACTTCTGTATAAAATGAAAGGGATCTAACTTCCCTTATGAATGAGAAAAAACCCCCTATGTACTCCAGATTGTTCTCATTTTAATACAGATTAGCACTGGTTCCAGTCTTGTATCCTCTAAGTCTAAGATAAACTGCTAGCAATCTTAATGGCTGTCTGCTTTTGGTATATCCTTCTAAACGTGAACCAATCTGTGATACATAACGAGACACATTTCTGCATAAACCAGTTCATATAGTTGAGATGGGAACTTGCCCTGTTGATGTTGCTGAATTTCAGTTCCAATTTAATTCTATTGGCCATGATGCCTGGGGACATTAGGAGCTGTAGTTCAACATCTGCTGAACCACAGATACCTTGTGGAGTAGAGTACTGTAAAGGGAATATCCTTTAAACTTTAAACCCAGATGTTGCTTAGGAAGACTTACATTTCTTTACCAGGCATGTTACAATGTGGGAAGAATAAACCTGTCAAAAGGTTTTTGCTCTGACAATGTCAGTGTTAAAAAAGATCAACCCTGAAGATATTTTTATTCTGCATCTCTCAAGCCAAGACACTTTGAATTTGTAGCCCTATTAAGAGATTAAGAATATCTAAGAATTGACTAAAATTCTTCCCAAGGACAGTGGAATTGAAAGCAAAGTATGTTTGTTACATATACTGTAGAAGCCCTGAGCAAATAATAATTTATCAGACTATAATTTGCTGTTAAAACCATCACCATTTTGCATTATCCAAAGAATCTGTCAAGTTGTTTGAGGCTGCTGACACCACCTCTCAGGTCTTCTTCTCCAGCCTAGCATTGGCATTCCAGATGTTCCAACCCATCTGGAAAACTCATTTCTCCTGAGTTTATTTTAAGTGTGGAATCAAGATGAAAAGTTTCACTCTACAGTCAATCACTACGTTAACAAACATTGCTTTGTCTGTAACTGCCTACAGATAAAATCCCTTATATATCAAGGAAGTCCCAATAGTGAAGCTGAAATCATGGCTTAGCCTTGCAATGCTTTGAATCAGCAAAATAACGATTATGGCTTGCTAAATCGACAAAGAAATCTGTACCTTAAGGGGGATCAACTCATCTTTTAAAATCATGCCAACATCCACTTTCTTTTTATAGAAAGTCACGCAGTTGTATCCTCGGCCTAGTATCCCTCTTGTCCACTAAGAGAAGTTCAAATTAATTTGCCAGCAGTTTCTTCATAAAAGTGAAGTTCTCAGTTGGCAAACTGTAGAAAAAGCGGAATTGCTCATGGGTAAGTACATCCTTTCAGAATAACAAGAGTTAGAAGGGACCTTGGAGGTCTTGTAGTCCAACCCCCTGCTGAAGCAGGAGGCCCCCCATACCATTTCAGACACATGGCTGTCCAATCTCTTCTTTAAAACCTGCAGTGTCCGGAACACCTATAGCAGTGTTTCTCAACCTTGACAATTTTAAGGCATGTGGACTTCAACTTCTGTGGAATTCTGGGAGTTGAAGTCCACATGCCTTAAAATTGTCAAGGTTGAGAAGCACTGACCTATAGCTTCTGAAGGCAAGCCATTCCAATGGTTAATTGTTTTCACTGTTAGGAAGTTTCTCCTTAATTCCAGGTTGTTTCTCTCCTTGATTAGTTTCCATCCATTGTCTTGCCTTCTGGTACTTTGGAAAATAGTTGACCCGCTCTTCTTTGTGGCAGTCCCTCAAATATTGGAAGACTGTTATCATGTCACCCCTAGTCTTTTTTCCCAAAAAAACCCGTGAAACTAAATTGGCTTATGAACCAGATACAGGTACCATAAAAACCTGTCAAACAGGTGACCGTATTATGCATTTGAATCATATGGAGGCAGAAGAGAACAAGTGACTTATGGCCGTTTTTCACACTTAACGACTGTCCCCATTGGTCATGTGGTCAACATTCAGACACTTGGCAACTGACTCATATTTATGACGGTTGCAGTGTCCCGGGGTCACGTGATGACCTTCTACAACCTTCTGACAAACAAAGTCAACTGGGAAGCTAGATCCATTTAACAACTTAAGTGTTGCTAACTGAACAACTGCAGTGATTCACTGTGACAAGTAAAGTCACACAATGGAACAAAACTCCCTTAACAACTGCCTCACTTAGCAACAGAAATTGATGGTCTTAAGTCGAGGACTACCTAAGAATAGATTTATGATTTTCACCCTAGAAATGATTTAAGGGATGTTTCTAAACCAGCTTGAGTCACTTGCTTTTCTTTTCGTTGACTCTGGTTGCACCATGTAAAAAAGTAAAAAAAAAAAAAAAAAAAAAAAAGCAGGATTTTAAAACAGCTATAAAATTGTATGTCTGTAAATTATCTGAAGATTACCCAACTCCCTGCTTCTTCATTACATTTAGAAACAGTTGTTTCCTCTCCCAAGAGTATCATTATGCCAGATGTGAATGGAGGACAAGGAGCACATTTACAACAAACACAGATGGACCAAGCAAGTAAGCTTCACTGAAAGATACAGGAAAAAGCTATCTTCCCGTGGTGGCCAGCTATCGGGGCCAACAGGGATACTGTCTAAATTTAGTCACAATTGGAGAAGTGGGGAGTGGGGTTGGGGTGGGAAAAAACTTGGAAAAGATTTGCTAACTCTCTTTACTCAAAGGATACATAGACAAGTATACAAGTACAATCTGCAGCTGCTGTATAGGGCACATTTCTGATTACAGGAGCTATATTTGCCTCAATC